AGTACAAAAAAAAAAAACACAGATAGAAAAGGGGAATTTAATTTTTATTATTCGTACAAAAGGTTCGAAGAAAATACATTCATCCCAAACAGCAAAACATATTTGCACTTTTTTGACTTCCACAAGCAACTGACGCTAACCAGACGACCCTGCGTAGATAGTAGCTAGCTTATCGCTTCACGGTTTAGAATTGAATAGTAAACAAGCTATTTAATTTAACATGAGCAATTAATTGTATTTGTGTTGTGTAGCCCCACTGTTTTCCGCCTAAAAGCATGCCAAGAAATTGTGCCGCCACATGTGTACATATGAATAAAATTTCAATAATCTTGCCTACTCAACATAGTTAATGTGGTGAATCTGAAATTGGAGGAAGATCGGTATCTAGATCATTAAGATGTACCGAGCTTTTAAATTATCTGAATTCAAGCCAAGCATGTAAAGTAATTGCTAGCGACTCCTATTTGATATTTTATTCATACATATTTTCCTTTTCTTTTATTTCACACCAATTCGCCAATTAGGGCGTCGCACACCATTTAAATAGTTTACGAGCAACTTCTGCAAAAAATTTAAAATATTATGGCAAGATAAGTAATTTGAAATTGGTTTTTGAAAACGATTTGCAGAACGCAAAGTGCAGTTGAAGTTGTATCTGAAAAGTGATAGCAAGTACTTTTCACGCGTTACATTAAATAGTGGACTTTTATTTGCGCAATTTGACAACAAAATGTGTAAGGGAAGTTACATATCGACACCTGAGTGGAATATCGACCTATCTCGCCAGCCAGTTCGAAAACGCCCTATATCAGAAAACTTTTCAAGAACGCCCTACTTCAGAATTCGATTGAACAACGCCCTATTTCAGAATATTATTGAAGAACACCCTATCTCAGAATTTAGTTGAAGATCGCCCTATCTCGGAATTCGGTTCAAAAACGCCCTATCGAAAATATATTGAAAATGTCCTAAGATAGAGCATTTTTGAATCAGCAGGTGAGATAAGGCGTTTTTGGACCGAATTCTAATAGGGCGCTGTTGAAAACTTTTCCGAGATAGGGCGTTTTCGAGCTGGCTGCCGAGATAGGTCCATCTTCCACTCAGGCACTCAGATGGTTTTTGTTATACGCTTTATCGTGACTGCAGTCTACCATTCCTCACAAATTTAATAAGTATAAAATGTAAACTTTTATGCATTTCTGAATGAAAAGCACCGTTCCCTATAAATATGCAAAAAGACACTCCCTGAATTGACTTATTGCAAACTTATTCACATTTAATACTTCTAAAACATTCGTTGGGTATAAATTTAAGTTCGAACGCAGACACTTCTCAAATTGTTATTATTTGCACATAGTCTCGCAATACCTATTCACTTATACTAAGCTGATAAGCAAATTTTAGTACATATATATATATATATATGTACAATATTTAACACACCAAGGAGTAATGACATTAGCTGATAAAAACTTTTGAAAAGCAATATTTGTATATAAATCGACACCAATAAATGATAGATAACAATAATAAGAGTATTTGTTTATTTTGCTGATTTGGAGCTACTATCATTGACTGACCCATATGAATGAGTAAAACAACAGCGCAATTGTAAAACGCGGCAAACGACCGAAAAGTTTACATGGGAAAGTGACGAATAACGAAAATCAAAAAAGGAAACACAAAGAGAGTGCATTTACAACAGATTTGTCCAAAATTAAAAGTTTTATAAAGCATATAAAAGCAAAAACGAAAAATTCCACCAAAATGAATAATTGGCTGAAAATCATTTTTTTTTTGCTTTAGCAATTTTAGAATTTATTTGCGATAAGCAAAGGCTGGCACTCAGCATTCAAAATAAACAAATAAATAAATAAAGAGAAGCTGATTAAAATGCGCTGCATGGATTAATGCAGTTTCCACACTAGTCCAAGCTGTCTGTCTATCGTATCAGTCTGTGTGACCATGTGATCTCGCCGGCGCGTGTTTTCATTGGAATTACGCAGCAAGAAGCTGATTGCAATTTGCTCGATGCAATAACAGTTTGCAAAACGTAGAGTTCAAAAGAAATATGCTGGAATAATCACTATCACAAGAATTAAAAATAGAATAGCGTACAAATGTGCACTAGGTTGGTTCAAAAAAGAAAAGTTTAAAATGTTAAGCTCTCACCCCTTAGGATTTTTCTAAATGGAAAAGAAGAATACCCGTATTTTTTTGTTAAAAAAAATATATATATATATTAAGAACTGCCCACGAAGTTTTCCATGATAAAATACAAAAACAGTTTTTTGTAGAAATGATATAGAATTCCTGAAAATCAATATTTTTCGATCGGTAAACCCTGTTACTCTTCAGGAGACTTCCAATAATAATACTCAATTGTTTATTTTACCTTTGATATTAAAATTGATATTAAAAAAATGATTAAAAAAACAATTGGGACTTGTTATTGGATGTCTCCTGAAGAGAGACAGTGTTTTCCGATCGAAAAATTTAAATAATTTCTCAGAAACTGGCAGGGCTATCGAAAAGTAATGTATATAGGGTTTATGGAGAATTGTATTTGCCGTATATCGTATTACGATTACTTAATTGGTTCGTAACGGTGAATAAAGGTAAATTGCAATTATCTCGAAAACGTAGCCATACAAAAAAAAATTATTCGATTTTCAGCATCAGCGAGCGATTTTACATACAAATTGGACAGTGGCGTCTGGAGAACAAAATCAAAATTCAAATTTGTGATCCAGTGTAATTTTCAACCAGATAACCTGACCAGGCAAGTATAAACTACATCATTGATTTACAAGAATCCTATACCGTTTCTTGGAAAAATTATTTTTTCCACATATAAAATGCATTCATTGATTGAGGCAATTCAAGATATCAATTTGTTTTTTTTTTTTAACAAAGAGATACGGTTAATCCTTATTTTCCATTTAGAAAAATCCTATGATGTGAGGGCTTTACTTTTTAAACTCCCCCCCCTCTGCACGTTTTTTCTACCACCCTTATGTACACGCATATGTAGCACAGGGCGAGCGGTCATCGCTAGGTTGATTGACTACATATTTTAGACAAAATAATAATCGTGCCTTTGTTGGAAGTGTCATAATTAAAAAAAAAAGTTTGTAGGTAAGTATGCAGAAATTATCGGTACCTCTCTAAATTATCTAATCTCTATTACTAATCGATTAACAATAGATCATTAGGAGAAAATGTGAGGCTATGTGAACTGTAAACTTTGAATAATAAGTAGAGAAATGTATCAGATTATACAACATACAAGTAAGCTTCTATTATCTTAACTAAAATTGAAACAAAAAGATTCATATGAGCACTTGGAAGCTAGAGCAGCTTCTCTAACATTTCAGAAAAAAAATTTAGGTACTGCTTAAAATACATGGCTAGAATTGAAAAAGTCATCTCCCGTGGCACACCCTTTCACGGTTTTTTTAGTAATAGGTAGCATCACGTAGGTGCATTGAACTTTTCACTAAAAGACCGTATTTATTATTTATGTCCCTTTTATTTCTAAACTTAAGGATAGGAAAGTTTTTAATATACGCAACTTTATTAGAATGTAGCCTTTCTTCGTGGTTGTGCATATATTGAACATTCATTATTGAGAAATAAAGGAGGATGCAAGCTATCAGCGTTTAAGAAGACAGCAGAATGCCGTAAGCTGCTTTGTGATTCGAGTCACGATCGAAATTGAATACAAAATAAGTGTAATAAATACAGCAGTTGAGAAATATGCTTTACAAAACATTAATTCTCATTTTCTGATTCCATGAAAATAAAAAGAAATGAATCACTTAACAACTCTTGAAGTGTCTGCATTTATAGCCAATACGCTGCTATAAGCCGACTATTCACGTGCAAATTGCATAAATGCTTGTAGTTTTGAAACATTTTATGGCAGCGCATACTAAGAAAATGTGCAAGTGTCGTTAAAAATTGGCGGCAACAATTATATGCATATCGATTGCGCCAATGAGTCACATCTTGCAAACCTTTCCTTTGTAGCGCCGTTCTGGATTCGTAATAAGTCTTAGCACTGCTTGCCAACCAACAACAATAAGCCAGTGCACGGGTAATGTGGGTGCATGTTATGATTAACAAAAGAAAGTCATTACGACGCATCGAAACATGCACAGGCATTCAAAGTAAATACATGTGTGAATATATAAATAATAATTAAAAAAGCAAGAAATATGTACATACATTTTCATGGCAAGATTGTCGCGTGCAGCACCTGTTGTGTTGACTGTGTTGATACCAGTGAAGGAATTGAACAATTCTTCCAAATATTTTCATATATCAACAATAGATGGGTGTGAGCAACCAGCACCATCCGGATACTTTAACAATTTTGGATTCTAAATTACCTTATTAGGCCGTGGTAAGCCGACCAAGGGCAACATCCTCAGTTAATTTTGGTACAACAACAAACACTCGGGATTTCCAGCCATCCATTTTTAAATCATTACTTTTGCGGATTTGAAGAGCTCATAGTTATTTTCATATGCACTCGTTCATAAATTTATTTTTGTAAGAATTAAAAAATATTTTGACCACCATTTCTAAAGTAAAATTTCCCGCTGAATCCGAAACTATCCCAAAAAGTTTCCTACCTCTGTATATTTTAACTTCATATTAGAATTCACTAGATGATGGCCAAATCCCACAGGTTGGATTTCTACTAGATTTCGACTAGTATTATGGATGATAGTGAAGTCAAAGATGTGTTATAAACCTATTTCTGTGAAATCTTTAGAAAGATGGGGGTTCCTCGTTGTTGTGCTAACAATATAATAAAATTTCGATTCCTTTGAATGACAGCCATTGGCCCAGTCTAATACCGAGTCCATTGGTCTTTATTGCTTTAGAATATCTTTGCAGAATTATTAATTTGGTATGGTAGATTTTGTTGACTGCCGACTAAATTCAACTTTACTTTAAAATACTTCAAAGACTACCTTTATAACACTTACCTTAAAAGCAAACCACTCCTCTTTCACGAGATCACTAAACGAGACCGCACTGGTATAGGCGAACAACGCCACACAAATCAATAATACGCGCATTTTGGCGATCGATCTGGAAATTTAAAAATCAGTGAATTAGAAATGGGAACAAGGCAGATCTGCGTGTAGCGTATACGGCAACTATTGCGTAAATAAGCACATACATACATACATATCTGCAGAAACCTATTAAACATTCAACGTTAATCTTAAAAATTATTAATTTATATTTTATCATTAAACAACTTTTGTGCAGGATTGATAGCAGAAATTTACATGGAAATATGAGAAAAATATGCAATATACATATGTATGTAAGTACATACATATTTAAGTAGCATATGCGTGCATTTAAACTACGTTTGTAATAGCGATTTGTATATAAGAAAAAAATCAAATGATTTCGAGGTAAAGCAAATACAAAAAGTGAAAAATTTTCATGAAATTACGGAGTTATTGCAATTAAATTATATTTTATATCTCTGCTTAGTAGTTTTCCAGTAGATAATTTTGGTAGGTAAATATCCTTCCAAATTCATTTAAAAAATTTAATAAAATAAATTTATACATTAAAACTAAATTATACTCTGGATTGTATCAATATAGTTAAAATTGTATATATGGATACGTAACAATGTATGTACATTTGCCTGGTTATGTACATACAACTTACATCTGCGAAATGTTTTTTCAATAAGAACTTTAAAAGCTATATTGCAAGATCTTCCAATAGCAAGCGAGACGGGAGAAATATAAATTTTTACTACGCCATTGTTATTTTATGTATGTATGTATGTATGTATAGTATATAAATATTCCCTATCTGAGAGAAGCTGATCGGGAAGCTGAAAGGCATAAGACTCTAGTCACTCAATAAAAGAGCAGTGAATAATAGAGAAATGAATTAAAAAAAAAAAAAAAAGAAATAAGGGATTTTAGAAGCCTTTTTTTAGTTTGCTAACTGGGAGTGTATACTCTTTATTAAAAAAAGAATACATACTGTATATGCATATGCCAAATTCAATGTCAACGACTTAATTGGAATATTTACGGGTGATTATAATCATCACGTAATTTTGTCACGTCTGCAAAGCAAATAAAGGAATAAAACTAGAAGAGCAAAAGCAAAACAGAGAACGAAGCAGCTGTTTTTGTTTTAAAAATTTGCTTGGATAGTACAAATTGTTATGCATACTAACCTAATATTTGGGTCGTTAGAAAATATAACTACATTTGTACATGAATATGTATGTATATAATGCTGCAGTGTAAAGATTTAATTAACGAGTAGATATCAAACACGCAAACAACATAGCAAATATGTAATTAATAAACAATAAATGCACTTCAACATAGCATCGATAGCTTTTTTCAAAGCAGAGATGTATGTATATACTTAAGCTGAATAGATAAAACAAATGCACCAAAACTATGCACATATGCACATTTATTGACAAGACAACCGACTCTTAAAACGAAGGGTGAAAAATGACACAAGTAGGCTAAAGCAAAGTCTCTTAAAGATAACAGCATAAATTAGTCATTGAAAATAGAGCAGTTGTTTATTTTTTGGTGCTATTCATGCTTTATCTTTTATTTCTTTGTGAAAGCAAAAGTAGTAGGTATATTAAATTTTGCACAGTACAATCAGTTTTATGTCACAGGGACCCATTTTTGTTTTTAATTAGGTCAAACGTGAAGCGTTTAATACTTTTAAGTTCAACCTGTGCTGATTATAAAAATTCAGACTGTATCTAGCTTTGAAGAAGTCACAAGAAATATTTTTTCATTATTTCTGTTGCTAGTATAAGAAATTTTTGTAGAGGAAAAATTCTTTTTCATTTTTTGAGCGATTTATATGATGTTTGAGAGTTCCATGCTATGCTTAAGCATATCTTATCAATAATATAGCATAGAAAAAAAATATATTTTTATAAATATTAATGTAGAATTACCTTTAAAATCAAGGTTTCATATTGTGCAAAAAATTCGGTCTAAGATCTGCGAGTAGAAATATGTATACATGTATGTACATATGTTCATATAAATGTATAGGTACTTCTATATTTTCTAGAAGTAAATCTAAGACTTTAAAGGCGTCTCCTGAACAATCGCATAATTTAGATTGCGACAGTACTTTAGTAAATAAGCGACATGCTATGTAAATATGTATGTTTAGACGCCAAAAATATTAATCGTCAAATAAGACTAACAAACATTAACAAACATGTGTAAAGTACTTTTTATAATCTGTTAAAAAGAATTCCAGGGCGATAACCTTTTCCCTACTTTTATAAACAAGCAAGAAAAAGAAAAGAATCATGACTTCAGGTGGTATAATAAACAGTAAGCACTGTAAGGATTTGAGGTATAATCAAGAGTACCTAAAGAGATCGGATAATAAACTAGAAAATGATTGTACAAATTAACTTATAGGATATGTAACAAATTTGCAAAGTATATGTATGAGTGTACATATGTATAAAGTATAGATAAATCATTAGTTAAACTCAACATCAGAATTTTCTGTAATTCAACTAATAACTATATGTAATTTTAAAGATAAGTTAAAGGCCCTTATTTAGGAACATTTTATATACATTTGTACATACATACATACATATTTGAAATCCATGAAAATTAAATTTTTTCCAGTTTACTAATTTGTGTAACAAATTAAAAAGTATCAGAGTGCTTTTTTTGGTTTCGTGTGGCATTGGAAACTTTTTAATTATATTCTAAAATCGCAAACATTTGTAATCGCCTAATTTGTGCGAATAGTTTTTGTGACAAATGTTCAAGCTGGCCAGTTTACCAATGATCAGAAAACCAGCAAGAAGAGCAGGTAGCAGTACAATCCAACTGCTGCGCAAAACAGTTTTTATTTCTTACCAACAGATCGCTCAGTAGAGTTTGAACAAAAGAATGGTTGCCAAGCCGTCACATGACGCAATTTCAGCAAGATTAAACAAAAGCCTAGATTTCACTGCTTTCTGTTATTTGCTTATAAAATATAGAGATAAATGTATGTATAAATAATATATATGTATTTAATATAATTACCAACTCTTTGTGTCGGCTGTCCGATTGCAAAACGCACAATATTTATGGCTATTGTTTGCTGCCCTGCAAATGTCTCCTTATCGCGATTCCGCTACTACACAACTCCAATACTATTTAGTTTCCAACAGCTTTTTGTTTACACTACCTTCATACACTTTATTTCCAAAGTAATAATTAAACAAAAATTTGTCTGTACCGCAAAATATTTAATTAAAAACAACCAATCAGCTTCGCTCGCAATTTGCAAATAATTTTTTGTCGTGCACTTGCAGCTGGTTATATTCGTGGGCTGTTCGTTTTTCTGTTTTCTACATCCATTTTGTTTATAGTTTCGTAGATTTGTTGTTGTGCTGCGTTGTATTTATTTACTA